CAGGGGAGAGGGAGGCGGGGGAGGAGCGGGCACAGGTGACAAGGAGGCAGGGGAGGAGCGGTCACACGTGACAAAGGGGAGGAGCGGTCACACGTGACAAAGGGGAGGGGCCCCAGGTAAAAATAACACAACAAGTGGCCCTATAGGTAGGATTGGAGAGGAGGAGGGGGCGGGGACATACAGGAGATGGGGAGAGTCTGGGCTGTAGGAGAGGAAGATACACAGGTGAGGGGCTTCAGTTAAGGAGGAGGAGCCAGGTTTGAATAGTGAGAGGACAATGAGCGGTTACCATGAGGAAGGTGGAAGACGGAAAGAGGTGGAGGAGGTACGTGGAGGAGACAGAAGGGCGGCCATACTTAAACGCACAGTGGTCCACTAATGGCACCTCGGTGGCTGGCGGTCTGCCCAGCGTGTCCTGAGGAGAAGAGGAGGGAACGTTACACAATGGCGGGCGGCGGGGGAGGAGCACAAACCATCTTCCTCCTCGTTACCTTCTCCGACCTCCAGGCCTGGTTCTTGGTGTATTCGGCATCCACCAGATCAGGATTCTCCCGGGACAGAAGGATCAGAGGGTCCCGCTCGGGGCTGGTCCTGCGACCAAGGAGGAAACCAGGTCACTTCTCATGTAAGGAACCTGAAGGACTCAGCCCCTGGAACCTGAAGGACTCAGCCCCTGGAACCTGAAGGACTCAGCCCCTGGAACCTGAAGGACTCAGCCCCTGGAACCTGAAGGACTCAGCCCCTGGAACCTGAAGGACTCAGCCCCTGGAACCTGAAGGACTCAGCCCCTGGAACCTGAAGGACTCAGCCCCTGGAACCTGAAGGACTCAGCCCCTGGAACCTGAAGGACTCAGCCCCTGGAACCTGAAGGACTCAGCCCCTGGAACCTGAAGGACTCAGCCCCTGGAACCTGAAGGACTCAGCCCCTGGAACCTGAAGGACTCAGCCCCTGGAACCTGAAGGACTCAGCCCCTGGAACCTGAAGGACTCAGCCCCTGGAACCTGAAGGACTCAGCCCCTGGAACCTGAAGGACTCAGCCCCTGGAACCTGAAGGACTCAGCCCCTGGAACCTGAAGGACTCAGCCCCTGGAACCTGAAGGACTCAGCCCCTGGAACCTGAAGGACTCAGCCCCTGGAACCTGAAGGACTCAGCCCCTGGAACCTGAAGGACTCAGCCCCTGGAACCTGAAGGACTCAGCCCCTGGAACCTGAAGGACTCAGCCCCTGGAACCTGAAGGACTCAGCCCCTGGAACCTGAAGGACTCAGCCCCTGGAACCTGAAGGACTCAGCCCCTGGAACCTGAAGGACTCAGCCCCTGGAACCTGAAGGACTCAGCCCCTGGAACCTGAAGGACTCAGCCCCTGGAACCTGAAGGACTCAGCCCCTGGAACCTGAAGGACTCAGCCCCTGGAACCTGAAGGACTCAGCCCCTGGAACCTGAAGGACTCAGCCCCTGGAACCTGAAGGACTCAGCCCCTGGAACCTGAAGGACTCAGCCCCTGGAACCTGAAGGACTCAGCCCCTGGAACCTGAAGGACTCAGCCCCTGGAACCTGAAGGACTCAGCCCCTGGAACCTGAAGGACTCAGCCCCTGGAACCTGAAGGACTCAGCCCCTGGAACCTGAAGGACTCAGCCCCTGGAACCTGAAGGACTCAGCCCCTGGAACCTGAAGGACTCAGCCCCTGGAACCTGAAGGACTCAGCCCCTGGAACCTGAAGGACTCAGCCCCTGGAACCTGAAGGACTCAGCCCCTGGAACCTGAAGGACTCAGCCCCTGGAACCTGAAGGACTCAGCCCCTGGAACCTGAAGGACTCAGCCCCTGGAACCTGAAGGACTCAGCCCCTGGAACCTGAAGGACTCAGCCCCTGGAACCTGAAGGACTCAGCCCCTGGAACCTGAAGGACTCAGCCCCTGGAACCTGAAGGAGCCTGGAACCTGGGGGACCCAACGCCTGGAACCTGGGGGACCCAACGCCTGGAACCTGAAGGACCCAACCCCTGGAACCTGAAGGACCCATCAGGAAGTGCTCTGTTATTTCTCAGGAATAGTAGAAGACAGAAAATAGATTTTTGGGTTACGGCCGACCTAAATCTTCCCTTTTGGGGTTCCGGTCCCCTTGTTAACGCACACGGACTTGTCTGTGACCCGCCTCTGAACACGGACGGCCACTCACCTGGAGCCTCTGAAATATCCCTTGGAGGTCTTCTTCTCCCAGGGCCACCGCACCGCCGCCCTGCAGACAAGGAGACCTATGAGAACACGCGTGTGCTCTACAACAAGGACATGGAGACCTATGAGAACACGCGTGTGCTCTACAACATCACTCATCATGAAACTTCCGAGCTATTCACACAGAGTGAACGTACGCAGCTTTGCTGGACAAATAGCTATGCACCCCCGAGACACCCCGCACATCACCCTCATCGCCCAGCACCCACCGCTTCAGGTCATCCCTCATAAGGTCCCAGCGCCCCAGTCCTGTGGGGTAGATGGGCCACACAGCCGGGCCGCCTTCCCAAAATGTCCAGGCGGGGTACATGATGTCCCGGTAATCTGAAGTCTTGTAGAGAAAGGAAATGAATGTCAGTCATATGTGACCCCTACATACTGCACCCTGGTATATGTCACCGCTACACACATACATACTGCACCCTGGCATGTGTCACCCCTACACACATACATACTGCACCCTGGTATATGTCACCGCTACACACATACATACTGCACCCTGGCATGTGTCACCCCTACACACATACATACTGCACCCTGGCATGTGTCACCCCTACACACATACATACTGCACCCTGGTATATGTCACCGCTACACACATACATACTGCACCCTGGCATGTGTCACCCCTACACACATACATACTGCACCCTGGCATGTGTCACCCCTACACACATACATACTGCACCCTGGTATATGTCACCGCTACACACATACATACTGCACCCTGGTATGTGTCACCGCTACACACATACATACTGCACCCTGGTATATGTCACCGCTACACACATACATACTGCACCCTGGTATGTGTCACCTCTACACACATACATACTGCACCCTGGTATGTGTCACCCCTACACACATACATACTGCACCCTGGTATGTGTCACCTCTACACACATACATACTGCACCCTGGTATATGTCACCGCTACACACATACATACTGCACCCTGGTATGTGTCACCTCTACACACATACATACTGCACCCTGGTATGTGTCACCTCTACACACATACATACTGCACCCTAGTATGTGTCACCTCTACACACATACATACTGCACCCTGGTATGTGTCACCTCTACACACATACATACTGCACCCTGGTATATGTCACCTCTACACACATACATACTGCACCCTGGTATATGTCTCCTCTACACACATACCGCACCCCCCTGGTCATGTGGTTGTCCGCCTGGCCCCGCCCCCTGGTCAGGTGGTTGTCTGCCCGGCCCCGCCCCCGTGGTCCATGGTCAGGTGGTTGTCCGCCCGGCCCCACCCATGAGGTCCTCCTCCTCACCTTACTGAAGGAGAAGACGGGAATGGGCGGCGTCATCCAGTGCGGAACCTGAGGATAGTCTCTGACATTGATCACCATCTCCATGTCCGGGAGCTCAGGAAGAAGCTCCAACAGGAAGTGCTCCACCCCGCTACATCTGAGGGGGAGGACGGAGGTCAGATAGAAGACTGAAGGGGA